TGCTGGACATACATGCGCGAGTGTGTCTGAGTGTGTGTGTGTGTGAGCATGTGTGTCTGAGTGTGTACGTGTGCATGTGTGAGTGAGCGTGTGAGAGCACGAGTGTTTGCGAGAGTGCATGTGTGCTTGAGTGTGTGTGGGTGTGTGTGAGTGTGAGCGTGTCTGTGTGTGAGTGTGAGCGAGTGTGTGTGTCTGCACACCACTGGGCTCACACGGGTGAGGCGCGCACGCTAGCAGGGCGCCACCACCCCGACCCAGCAGTGCCATCTGCAACCTGTGTCTCTCTTCACTTGGACCCTCCCAGTTTCTGTCTGTTCCCCACGTGGTGGTACCTGGGGCCAGGCTTCTGGCGCCCCGAGGAGTTGGGATCAGGAGTCTCGTAGGGCACCGTGCTCTTCCTGGAGGGAAGGCCAAGGCCAAGGTCTCAACACTGCAACCCCAAACTCTCAGCCCCAGCGGGCCACCGGCCTCCACGTCACAGCAGTCAGACGCTCCACTCGGGGCCTCAGTTTACGGGAGCTGCGGCCAGCACCCGCCCACCCCACCCACTCCCGCTGTTCCCGGTGAGAGATGTCTGTGCCGCCTCTCCCCAGTCTGGCATCTCGGGCATCCCCCCAGGCCAAAGCTGCCGGAGGAAGGACACTGACTTCCTGCCAGTCCTCAGGACGGGAGCCCCTGCCACTGACCGCACCCACCCGAGTCACCCTATGCCCACTGACACAGGGGTCCCGGGCAGTGCCTTCTGGGTGGCGGGGGCACTCTGTGATGCTGAGCACTGCTCTGCACTCAGGAATCACTCCTGGCAGTGCTTGGGGGACCACATGGGATGCTGGGGATCGAACCCGGGTTGGCCGTGAGCCAGGTAAACGTCCTCCCTCTGTCCACGGGCTCGGGCCCTTGCGTGCCTGTATTCCCAGCTCGAGCTGACGCCAGGCTCACAGGCGCCAGCAGTCGAGTCTCTGCTGGGGCTGGAGAAGGTCTTATGGCACTGGCCTTGCGTGAGGCTGGCTCCAGTTCCATCTCCGGCACCACACGGTGCCATGAACACCACTGGGAGCAACCCCGAGCAGAGTCGGGTGCAGAGCCTGAGCACTGCTGGGTGAGATCCGGCCCCGCCCCAAGGAAGTTTATGAACATTCAGTGCGGGCAGGAAAAGTTCACAAAGGATACTGTGTTATATACTTGGGCCCTCGTAATCCTAACCTGCTGAAAACGATGTGGAATCATCCTTTTTTTGGACCAGGTTTGGTAAATTTTTAAGACATGGTTTCTAAATCACACCCACCAGTGCTCAGGGCTCTCCTGGCTCTGTGCTCAGGGGACCGTATGTGATGCCTGGGACTTGAGCCAAGGTCACAGGAAAGCTCCTATCCTTTTCGCTCTGGGGTTTGTTTTTTTTCCCCAATTAACAATGTAATAGAAGAAATGAATCCTTCAGATCCAGTGAAGTCTAGCGACCTTCATATCCATCAATAAAAGGCTGAATCACTGTCCAGCCAGACAACACTGCCCGATGGAAGTACGGACATGCACCTCAGGCTAGAGTGATAGGACAGCGGGGAGGGCCTTTGCCTGGCACGCGGCCAACCTGGGTCCGATCCTGGCACCCCACCTGATGGTCCCCCGAGCACTGCCAGAAGTGATCCTGAGCATTGCTGAGTGTGACCCAAACAAAAAAGAAACAAACAAAAAACTGCACCTCACAGAAGGTGTACTGTTGAAACTGGGTCCCAGTTCAGTAGGGTAGGAGCTCATGAAAAGGAATCTGCCTGTACACGTGCACACGTCAGGGAAGAGAAGGAAGAACAGACACTAAAACGAAGTGAGCTTGTGGCTGAATGGTTAGTTTCTACTTGATAATTTTGACTGTAGCACTACTCAATAGGGACTCCCCAGAACCACCCAGGGAGAGCTCAGGCTTAATAAAAAAAATTTTTTTAAAAAATCATATAAAGTGGGAGGGTGGCCTTGAAGGAAACGGGCTGGAGGAACAGCCTAGAACCCCTGCTCTGTGGGCCCGGATCTATCTCAGCTACAGCCACTTCAACTGTACTGACGGGCAGAGGCCTACAGCCACGGGAGCCCAGGACACGGAACCTCCAAAGCTACGTACCAGACACGGAGCGCAGGGCCCACTGCACTTGGGTTAAGGTGTTTTAAGGGCTGGAGCCATAGCACAGCGGGGAGGGCGTTTGCCTTGCACGTGGCCGACCCGGGTTCGATTCCCAACATCCCATAGGGCTCCCCCAAGTACCGCCATGAGTAACTCCTGAGTGCATGAGCCAGGAGGAACCCCTGAGCATTGCAGGGTGTGAACCAAAAAGAAAGCAAAAGGGTGCTTTAAATGGGATCTGGACTCTAACTCCTTCCCTGTGCTCAGACGGTCTCAGGGCTTCTCCCCAGCACTCCAGGGGCCCCCAGGCACCACAGGAGTGATCCCTGAGCACTGCTGGGTGTAACCCACATACAAAAACAAAACCATAAAACTACCCATCCCACAGGTGGCTGTGGGAACCGGACACAGAAGCCGTTGGTCAACAGGCAGTTTGAATTTCCCCGCAGGTGAGCACGTCATTCCGAGCGAGCGTGCGATTCTCATTCGATCTGTCTCCCAAATCCACCCTCATCCGATTCTATTCTGATGCTTCAAATTCTCTGACCACCATCTCTACTGTTCTCAGGATATCTGACGTGAAAATAATTTTTAAATCGTAATTCATAGTGAGAGGTGAGAAATAGCCTTCTTTTGGGGTGGGGGAGGGGGTGAGTTCGATGGACGGTTTCCACCCGAATCCTCCACGGCCACCCTCCACGAGAGAAGCTGCTCTGGAGGTGGGCTGGCACGCGCAGGGGAGGAGCGGGGCGGGAAGGGCCGTGGGCCTCTCTCGAGGGAGACCCTCGGCACGGGAGCCTCAGGCTGAGCCCTGGACTGGCCCCTGGAACAATGGCCGGGCTGAATGCAGACAAGGCAGCAGCTGAAATAGACTCACCTCAGAGACACCAGACTCACTCAACTATTCTAGCCATAAAATCGTAAAGGTGGGTCCCAACACACTCACACACACACACACACACACACACACACACTCTCACACCCTCGGGCTTCCCGGCCATCTGAACGGGAATTAAACGTAGCCACCATTTCTCCTGCTTCCCAGAGGTGCTTGGTTTCGCCCTCGGGAGCCGCAGGGTGGCAGCTGCCCGGCTGGGGGGTGCCGGGCAGGGTCCCCTGCGGCTCCCCCCACGCCTGGCACGGGTCTCCCGGGCCCCTTGGAGGGGAGCAGAGCTGGGTCAGAGCTGCCGTGAGCAAACACATTCTTGGGCCCCTCACACCCAAATCGAGTCTCGCATCCGGCAGAGTGGGCGCCGGAATCAAAGCAGGCCAGGAAAGTCCCCGGCCCTGGCCAGGAGGACAGGACAGAGTCACGCCCCACTGCCATCGGCCCAGACAGGCCCCCGGACACCCAGCAGGAGGGGATGCGCCCCCCCCTCCCGCCTCAGTCACGCTCAGCCCCCACGTCACCATGTCTCCTTCGAGGCCCAAAGCAAGGTCCAAGCAAGGCCCAAACTGTCCTTCCCAACCCGGGAGAGCAGAGCACAGAGGGACTCTCAATGCCCGGGGCCCCCCTTTCCAACCGTGGAGGACCCGCTCCCCCCCCTGCACACAAACAGCACCGTCACCAAGTGCCCCCGACGCTGCCTCCCGCCGGCAGTGACCAGCCCAGCTCCTGCACCCGGCTCTCACCGGCCACTGGCCCTGCCCCTCGATTCAGCCGCGGAAGAGGCAAGGAAGCGCTTCCAGAGAAACAGCCAGAGCCGGCACCCAGGGACGCTGGCATCCGGCAGTGGGGAAACACGCGTGGCAGGGCCTGCCGGCTTCAGTCTGGGCCGTGCAGGAAACCGCTGCTCCCAGGGAGGGCCCCCCCCCCCCCAGCAGCCTCCGGCCTAAGAGCGCTCATGCCTGGATGGAGCTTGGCGAGGGACGCCCCCCACCCCGAGCCCCCCTAGAAAGCAGTCTCCGTGCGCCCGCCACGGAGGAAGGACACGAAACACACCCACCCGAGCAGAGGCCAAAGGTGCGCCCTCCCGCCCCCCCTCCCCCCTCCCCGCCCCCTGCCCAGAGCAGACAGAGCACTGGAGGCGCGTGACGCTCCCGGGCCGGCAGCGGCCTCAGCTAACCCACCTGCTGCTCCACAGCCCGGCCCTTCCCGTCACGGGGCGCCCGCGTCCGCCCGTGTCCGAGACCCACGCGGCCGCCTGAACCGCGCCGCCATGACACGCAGCCGGCTACGAGCCCGCCCCAGCCCACCCCGAGCTCCCGACCAGCAGAGCCTTCCGCCTTCGCCCACCTGGAGCCCACCCGCCGCCCGCCCACTCACCCGCCCGCCACGCCACGCCACTTGGCACGGCTGCGTGCCCGAGAGCCTCCCCGACCCCCCCCCCCGCCCCGGCCCACCCCCCAGTTCTACTTCCGTCTGTGGAATTCTCTGCCGGCCTCAGCCTGGAAAGTTGGGGAGCCCGGCCTGGGGGACAGGCACTCTGGAGTCTGGCTCAAGAGGGTCAGTGGCCCCCCGGGGGGACGGATCCCGGCAGCATGAAGCTGCGGTGTCCAAAAATTCCCGTGGGAGGCTGGAGACCCTCTGGGAGTCCCCTCCCGCTCCTGCAGGCAGGGGGGAGTGGCGGCAGGCCCGAGGAAGAGCCGCAGATGGGGGGCGGGGGGTGGGGGGAAGCCACTTTAGGGAGCCTCCCGACGGGTCGCAGCGGCCCCCAGGGAGCAGGCCACGGACAGCGGGGCCCTGGCCCGGGCGGGAGAAGATGGGACGGGAGCCCAAAGCAGGAGGAGAGCCCCTCCCCCACCCGTCCTCACCCCTCCGAGGGAGGCTGCAGGCTGGAGGCGGGCAGAGGGTCACACAGAACACGGAGCAGACGCCACCCGCCCCCCCCCTCGGCGCGCGTGGCATACGTAAGGAAACACATGTAGGACAAGAAAGAAGAGGCACCTGGAGACAGCTGGCATTGGGCAGGCTGCGCAGGCAACTCAGTGTGCACATGCTCTCTGCCAGGGTGGCGCAGCCTAGCCACAATGACCTGGGCACAGAACACTGCAGGGTGACAAAAAGGAAGGAAGAGAAGAAGCAGTTAGAGCGTCGCCATCACCCCACAGGCATCCCGACTGTTAGTGGGGCGGGGGCGGGGCGGGGGGTGGGCCGGGGGCGCCCCGGCGGCGCCCTGACCCCGGGAGGGGGGGCACCCACTGCTGGCCCTCGGGAACGGGGGCGGGTGCTTCTGCTCCCAGCCACTCACGCCTCAGGCCTCGGGAGCCCGGGCGTGCGCAGAATCCGGAGGAAGCTCACGTTTCCATGGAAACCCACAGGGAGAGCCGGGTGGGGGTGGGGACGGGCCGCGAGGGGTGGCTTTGGGGTGGGGGGGCGCGGAGGCTGGCTGGGCCGGGCCGACCACAACCCCGATTTCTCATCTCTGGGGTTCTGGGCGTCCCGGAGCTCAGGGGGGCGAGTCACGTGGGCTGGTCCCTCCCTCCCAACCGCAGAGTGGGAAGGGCCCTGGGGGCGTGGCGAGGAGACTGGCCGGCTCCTACTGGCCCACACGTGCCCATCCTCCCCCCACCTAGGGTGCTGGGGAGACCCCCGACCACCGGCAGGTCAGCCGGGCACAGCCCTGAGCTGCCCTCAAACCCGAGAGGCCAAAGGCAGGCCAAGGATGAGTGAGAGGCAGCGAGTGACAAATGGGGGTAGGGGGACGCGGGGCCCAGGCTACACCCACCCCAGCGTCATCACAGCTGCCTGCCCCGCCCTCTTTGGGTTTCAAGGGACCCGAGAAGAAAGTTTCCCTGTTAAAACAGAGCCCAAAGGGAGCACAAACATGCCGGGCGAGAGTCTCATGGCCACGACAAGATCTGCGGACCTGGACACACTTTGGAGAAACCGAGGGCCAAAGAAATTACTATGGCAACCCCGGCCAGCAGGAAAACAGCGCGAACCCCCCCCCCAACTCCAGGTGGGGGCCGGCTGGGGCTGGGGGGTGGAGGCATCCCGAGGCCCCGCACAACTTTCCCGCTCAGAGCTTCTGGGCTGGAAGTTGAAATCCAGGCCCCTGCAGCTCCGAGGGGTGTTTCACCCCAGTGTCCTCAGGGTCTACTCCTGGCTCTGTGCCCGGGGAGGCCTATGCAGTGCCCTGTGCAAGGCCCCCTGGCCTAGCCCTCTGGCCCTGGCCACTCTAACGTGCCACGCCCACGTTAACACCTCACTCCTGTGGAACCTCAGTCATCTGAGAGAGTGAGTCTGGAGTCGGGCCCCCAGGGGAGGGCAGTGCCCACCTCCCCCACCCCCCAGTGTAAGGCTCTGGGAACCCCCACCCCGGAGGGGGCAAGCAGCCCATGGAACCGACCCACCTGGCCCAGAATCTCCAGAAGGGACCCCAGGAAGCACCACAAGGAAGAAACAAATGAATAAGGAAAGAACTAAACCGTGAGTGAAGAAGACAGAATCCTAGGGCTGCAGAGCGGAGGCGGGCAGGGCAACGGCCCCCCTCACCCCCAGGGTCTTGGAAGGCTGCAGAGCACAAGCCGTCACCGCCACACGCAGAGCTGGCGGGGTCTGTTAAAAGAGCAACCGTCCCCAAGTCCGGGGAACAAGGAACAAAACTGGTGGCAGAACTGAGAGCAGAACCCTGGCCGACAGGGCGCCAGTCTCTTCCCCCAACTCCTCTCTCTCTCTCTCTCTCTCTCTGGCTCTCTCTTCTCAGACAGACACCAGCCTGCATCAGGAACGGGACAGGGGACACCCAGGCACACCACACAGCCAGATTACAGCGTTGAAACCAACGCCCACCACCCACCCTTTCAGTTTGAAATCTCTTGGGTTGTTTCAGTGACATCAATCATCCCTCCAACCTAAGAACAGAAGTTAAGGACGACACCTGCAGGCAGGGACCAGTAACAGGTGAGTACCCAGGGGCACCTACAAATCCACTTTCACTCCCCCCCCTCCTGCCAGGTCCCCTCCTGAGACTTGGGTTTGCCTCTGAGGGTCAAAGCCCTGGAGGCAGGACCAGAGACACGCTGGGGCGTCTGCACCCTGCCTGCCTTCAAGCAGCTGACCCCAGCTCACAGCCCCTCTCGGGCAGGATGGGGCCCGACCCTGTCCAAACGGCTACCCCCAAAACACCATGAAGGGAAAAGGCACGATTCTCCGGAATCGGAGTCGGCTGGTCAGGGGCCACAGAGAGGAGGCTGTGGGTAGGGCATTTGCTTTGCCAACCTGGGTCCGATCCCCGGCATCCCACAATCCCACATGGTGCCCCTGAGCACCACAAGGAATCATTCCAGAGTGCTGAGCCAGGAGTAACCCCTGAGCATCACCAGGTGTGGCCCCCAAACCAAAACAGACAAACAAACAAACAATAATTTGAGAACTAAACCTTAAGGGGGGGGAGGGGCGATGCTTAATGCTTTCCACTCAAAGAATCAGAAATCTGGAAACTTCCCATTACCGGGTTTAGAAGCGAAGAAACCGACGTTTAAAGAGGAAGAAACAATGATTGGTCCACGGGTTCTCAACCAGCTCAAGCTGACACCACACTCAGAAAAAAACGCGGAAAGGGACTAGAGCTATAGTACAGCCTTGCACGTGGCCAACCCAGGTTCGATCCCCAGCATCCCATAGGGTCCCCCGAGCACCGCCAGGACTCCTGAGTGCAGAGCCAGGAGTGACCCCTGTGCATTGCTGGGTGTGACCCAAAAAGAAAAAAAAACTGAAAAAAAAAGAGAGAAAAATGTGGAAAATGAATCATCTGAAAACTTAGAACTTCAAAATACTGCCCATGGCGGGAGAGTGATGGTGAGGGGCTCAGGCATGGTGGGAGGGGGGACAGTAGTGAGGGGCTCAGGCACTGCATGGGGACGAGGGGTGGTGGGTGCTGGAATCGTGCAGGAGAAACCCTGCCATCAACTGCCCTGCCACCCCAAACACCCCTCGCTTCTTCCAAGTGACCAAGAGGACAACACACTTGCAGGCAGGGCAAGGGCCACGGGAGGTGACCGTCCCGGAGGGGGCTGGGGGCCGGCCAGGCCTCTCACAGGGCTCGGGTCTGCACCCAGCGGGAGACCCTCCCCCACCAGGAGATGCGAGCGAGGTCACAGCCCGGACAAGGCTGGGAGGAGCCCCCGGCCGGCCGCTGTGGGTGAAGCAGTGTCCCTCATTCTGAAACGGAACCAAGTGCCCTCGCCGTCAGAAGCCAGGCCTCTGCCTTTTTATTTATTTTTTTTTGTAATTAAAAAATAAACTGTCAGTGGCCTCCCGTGCCACGTCGGCACACTCTCGCCACTAAGAAACACCTCGAGAACTGACCCCGATGCGGTGGGAATTTGCCAGTTTCAACAAATACTATTGACCTACTTCTTCAGGGAACAACAATGCTGGACGGCTAAGCCGCTTCCCCTACAGACCGTCGCCTCAGGCTCCAGAGGAACGGAGGGACACGGATGGACATGGATGGACACAGATGGACACACACACACACACACACACACACAAGACACTGAAGAGGCCCTTGGGGGATTAGAAAATCCCCAGGGACACACACACACAAACACACACACACACACACACACAAACACACACACACACCCCACTGAAGAGGCCCTTGGGGATTAGAAAATCCCCAAGAAATGTGGGTCACGACTTCACGTTGAGCACATGTTAAACTCAGGATTCTTCTGAGACGAGGAAGTGAGTCACGGGGCTCCGGTTCGGACACAGATAGACGCCCCCCGGGTTGTGTTCTGGGGGGTCTCCGTGCCAAGGGAAGCCGCCGTGAGCCCCGGGACGCCGAGGCTTTCTGCGGCCGTCCACGGAAAGCACAGAGCAGACTCGGGCCCACCAGGCTGAGGAGGAGAGGCAGGCGAGCGACAAGAGGAACGGCAGCTTTTGGCATTTTTCGAAGCAGCAAGTTATTAAAAGAGGGAGGAGAGAAACGTCCTCGGCTCCCTTCCGATTGCCATAGGAACCGCGCGAGGGGGGCCGCGCGCATGCAGCACCTGGCCGCCCATTGGCTGGCGGGCCGCACGCTGGCCGGAGCCGGCCTCCAGACGGGGCTTCCGCGTCCATTCATCTCAGAGCCACCGGAGAGGGAGTGAGGGCGCCCCCCCCCCCCAGCACCAGAAGCCTCGGCCTCATCCCAGGGCTCCCAGGAAGCCCCCACAGATCCGCTTTCAGTCGCCCAGCCGAGAGGCTTAAACTACTACTATCTCATTCAGCCCCAAACTTCTCGGCGCTGACACCGCAGAGTCAGGCACGAAGACCCTAGGAGGGTGCCCTGAGAATACGCAGCATGCGCACGCGCACACACACACACACACTCTCTCTCACAGACACTCACAGACTGAAACCCACCCAGAGGAGGACCATGACCCAAGCAAGCCATACAGGATGAGCAGGAGGCAGCTGGGGGTGAGGAGAGACACCCGCAGAGCAAGGCGTGCAACCCAGCTGGGTGAGCTGGGAGACCCCATCTACCCCCAACGGGCAATCCTGCGCTTCTCCAGTACCGAAGGGCAAGAAGACGAATTACTCGGGTGGAACCACACCTCCAGCCCCCCACCCATTATGCTACAGGCTCAGGAGTTTCATCCTGGGGGCAGGGGGGGAGCGCAGAGGTCTTTTCGGATGTGCTCGGAGATAAAGAGACCTCCCAGGCACACCATCCGGTATTTCTGAAATAAGTATCTACCGGAGGGCTTTCTGGTTCTTGTTTTTGACAATCCATCAACGTGCAGTTTCAGAAACACGTCAGAGCTGGATGAAAGGGTCCGGGCGACAGATGGTGGGGTGGGAGAGGCTGGGGTGGGACATCGCACCCAGGCAGTCTCCCCACTCACCTCTGCACCTGGGAAGACAGGGCGGGCACCTGCCACATGCCAGACAGCCAGGGTGCCCTCAGCAGGGGTCGACCCAAGGGGACAGGCAGTCTATTCCTTCTAAAAAAAAAAAAATCTTTATGGCGGAGAAGGGAGGGAAGCAGAGGGTGGAACCCAGGTCTCACCCTGGCAAAGCCTGGACTTTACCAGTGGACACACCCAGGCCTC